TCAGTCTGGCTGCTCATGGAAAAAGCCAATGTCAGTCTGGCTGTTCATGTAAAAGATCAATGTTTGAATAGCCATCAAATGAGACCAATGATGGCTGCTAATGGAATAAGCCAGGATATTTCGCAAGTCAGTGAACATTTCTGATTGGCTGTTGTGGTACGCTGCATTTTGTCAGGTATATGGAAACAGGTCATGAGAATTTTGGCACTCAGGAGATGATGAATATATTTAATAATATGCATTCATAGCTTTTTAAACACAAGAGCAGAAGGTATGAAATAAAATTTTGCATTCAAGACATTTTTTAAAGACTCCCAAGAAAGTTTGCTTTGAACCAAGTGTAACTGGCAATTTTACATTTGAGGGGTACTCCATTATCTTCATTTCCACTTCAAGCAATTCAACACTGTCAACATTCACCACCTGTACACTGCTAACACTACAGGTGCAAAAAATTCTTTAATTAACTAGCATCAACAATATTCTTTAACATAGCATTTGTATCAAAACTTTGCAAATTAGTGAATACAAAAAATAATACTTTTTTAGATTTTCAGAATGATAAAATCCACTTTCGAATACACCAAACAGGCTATACATCTGGTCTTGCTCTGAAGGCATCCGGGAGCATGTGGGTCATCCATATATACAGGCATATACAGTACAGTACTTGCTTTTACATTATTATATCTAACGTAGTAAGTCGTATTTGTATAATGAGGTTAACCTTTCAAGCCTACAGTTTACTTAACTTGAAACAGTACACTTTCAAAGGCAAGTTGGAATTCTTTGTAAATAACAAAATACTAGTACATACTGATCAATGGTAACCGAAGTTTAAGTTTATAAATTTGTTTAAACATGAAAATACAGTATATCAAAACACACACTAAAGGATCTGTGTAGATTATTATTTAAAAAATGGTTCTGTAATGTGTTTAGCATTATCTTTATTCTCGTGTTATTAGATACTTTTCCGTGGGGAGCCCCTCCGGCTCCCTGAAGCTGTTGGACTGATATACGCTATATTAGTCTGGGGCATCAGTCAATGGAGTTCAGCCTACCGGGAACCACGGGCCAGTATTGTGTAGCTTTCGCACACTTTTGTAATAATAATTTCATTGTCTGCCACCACCCTCAAAAGGGGTGCTATATTTTGTCAAGGACAAAAGTGATTCTACATATTGTCGAGGACAGAGGTGGTCCTGCATCTTGTCAAGGACAGAGGGATCCTATATCTTGTTGATGACGGAGTGATCCTGTATCTTGTTGAGGACAGTGGGATCCTGTATCATCATCTTCGCAGTACGTGCGGTTTGCATGCAGGTATATCCTCCCGATACCTGCGCGAATGGGAATGTAGAAAGACTCATATATGACAATGCACAACAACACATCAACGGTCATGACGAGCCCGAGTCAAGAAGATAACAATGCCATCAAGGTAGGCGAGGATAAAGGCAAAATAAACAAGAGGATAGAAACACAGGATGGGAATAAAAAGAACAGAAGACAGAAGGCGAATGTAAAGCGTCGCTGCAGTAAAGAAAGCGAGGGACGTAGGCAAGAGACGAAGGGCGGGGGGGGGGGGGGGGCAAAGGATGTGAAGGAGGCAAGTGCAAAGCAGACATGAGAAAGGAAGGGGGAAGGTGCAAGCAGCGGAAGGTACAAGGAGCGAATGTGTAAATGGGTAGAGGAAGTCAAGACAGGACAGGCGAGGTTAGGACAGGGTAAGGTACGTAGACCGCATCCGGAGCCTCATGACTGGGATGCTAATGCATCGGACTCTGCAGAAATGCCAGCAGGACAACGGGAGGAAGACTGAGGAAGGCGCAAGGACAAGTCGTGGGAGAATGCAAAGGAGGACACCCATCAGGCAAGGTGGCAGGGCGCTTGGAAATCGAGACGACGGAGGATTGCTTCCGCTTAGTACTGGGGACAGAGATGTGCAGCAAGGCAGCCTGGGAAGACACACAGGGAAGGCTCGCCAAGGAGTTGCGAAGGGCGTTGTCCAGCATCGATTCAAAAGCATTGGAGATAGAAGAGGCAGCTGCAGTTGGATGGACGTCAACCGTAGAAGAAGCGGAGAGGAGCGACAGGTCAGCTTGAGGAACGGGAAGGATGGACTGTGGAAAGAATTTAGTGATGAGGTAGACCAGCACCGTCTCGAGTCCATCCACAACGCAAGCGACAATAGCGTCAACAAGATCAGGACTCAGTTGAAGGGCGGGTGGGAGAGAAGACGCCTCAGCATGCCCGACTGGAGGGCGAAGTGACAACGGGAAGAGCCTTAGTGAGCACCGCAACGTAGGAAGGACACTGCTTGAAAGTGATGGTATGATCACCACCACAGTTGGGGCTACAGAACTTGTCGGACTCACAGTCACAAATGAAATGGGAACCAGAGCATTTGCCACAATAAACATCATTGGTGTAGCCAAGGGAGGTATGGTGAAAACCCTTATAACGAAAGTACCGAGTGAGATGGGGGACGTACACCTCCAATTTATGGAGGAAGCCTTTAATCCAAACCCGATCAAGAGGGAGGGAGTCAAGAAAAGTAAGGAGAGCAGTGCCGGTATCACACAGAGCGCCATCAATCCGACGCATAAATTTCTTGACACCAAAGATTGGAAGGTCAGCATCCTGCAGTTTCGCCTTGATGTCATCCACACTAATGTCAACGACATGCCGGACCACATATCGTACCAAACGGTCATCTAGAGGCGTATTGGCATCAAAGGCAATGATGAACGTACGAAGGCCAGGAGAACTCGTCTGACCTGGAAAGTGTAGAGACAGAGGTTGCGAGGGGGAAGGGGGGGGGCTGGAGGTCACAGAACACCACAGGATGCAGGCGACGTTTCGCCTCTAATCTATTAGTCTTTCTATGATTTTTACTGTCCAGAAAAACACCCTCAGGATCATCCTCCTAGGCCGGGAGAACGTTGTGACCGGAATGCGTGCCAAGGGACAACAGGTCCTGAAAACCCTCAATGGGAACAGAAATGTCCATGGGAGAAACCCTGCGTGAGCCACCATCCGACGCCATGGTTGGCTGACAAGTCCATCCTGTATCTTGTCGATGATGGAGGGGGTTCTGTATCTTGTCGAGGACAGAGGGGTCCTGTAGCTTATTGAGGACAGTCGTGACTGCGCTGTGAGGTCCCCACCGCCATTGTAACTGTATTCCATGAGAAAAATGGGTAAACATATTTACCCATGTTTCTCATTGTGAATGTGAAGGTAGAGTTAATCTGGTGAGTTGATTATTATTCTATAGTACCATTCTTTGTTTTTTTTAAATAAATGTAATGCATGCACCTTACTGACTTGATTAAATCTCTTGAGACAAAGTAGTTGTGTGGGTGGAATTCACTGAATCTCAGTTGTGTATTTGGTAGAAGGGTCATGTATATTATTATTATGTATGTTAATGCAATTTTATTAATTTAAAGAAATAAAACAAAGAATTTTATATAAACACCCTTCTCCCCATCTGAATGTCTCACCTCATTAGTGCAAATCAGCTGATAACCATGATTTGTGCTCATTTTTGTTTAATGCAAGAATGGATGTTAAATCCATTCTATACATTTTATATGATCAGAGCTAAATGTGCAAAACTAAAGCAGCATTTGAGAAAGTAAATTAGGAATTTTGCATGCTTTGAATACAACAGTGTAATAGTTGTAAATGACTTGCGGTGAAAGAAAGAATAGGTACTGTTTCAGTGTGGCAAAAGGAAGTGCCTGGATTATTTAAGGCAGATTCAACACACAGCCAACTTTTTTATTTAACAGAGTAAATATTGTCAATGGCTCATCATAGCAGATCCTGAAGGTGTCTATTAAAAAAAGTAAATATACTAGTCAGAAAAAAACAAAACTCATGAAATTGTACAGCATATTAAAATATATTAACTTTATGCCATATTAAATATTAACATGAGAACCAGAATCCTGTGGCAGGCCTAAAATTGTCAACTGGTAAAATGGATCTTGCATTATTAATTTAAAGATTCAACAATCAAAAGATGTTTAAGACTTAGTTCTGTAAATCCAGCTGATTACATTTTAGTTTTGTGCGTTGGTTCCTAGGAAATGACAAAGGCCCTAAATCTTACAGTTTAGTATCAAAGATTTTGCAGTATTGTAGGAAGGACACATACCTTCATATTGTATAAGTACGGTAGTCACACTCAGTTTCCATACAGGTATACACAATTACAGTACAGTATTATGGTATGGTTCCATTATAATTGTCTGTTCATTATAAATGGCACCTTACATTTTCTTAAATGTTTTACAGAGTTTGATTTCACTAGTTTCTTTATACTCTTTGGTATTGTTTAAATACATGTAACCCTTGAGCTTTATTTGATACCTCCTTAAGTGCAATATTTTACTGAGAGAGGAGTGTAGCTGTCAGTCATATTTTATATTCTGAATAATTTCTCTACCATAATACTTTTCCCATGTAATTACTTTATATAATTTTCATACTTATGTGTAAAAGAATTACTGTAAGTTGAGAATTACATACAGGTACAGTATATCAGCAGTGTAGCTTCAGGAAGCCACCAAAACTCCACTCAGGAATTAGCATTTCATTACATTTAATGCTGATTTTGTTTTTAAACTTGTCAGCCTTGATTCTTTAAATGACACTTGATTATTAAACACATTTTTAATTTAAATATATATATTATACAATATATGCTACCCTGTGTCATATGTGCAGTAATTCTGGTCTGCTCTTTGTAATATATATATAATTATGTTTGTTTTCTCCTTACTGACCAAGCATGGCCTCACAATTGTTCTTTTATAATTGTCTGTATTTTGTCAAAAGTACTTCAAACACCAAAGAATATTGACAGGAGTATTTATAAAAATACATTAAAAAACAAGGTAAATTGTCTGATACAAGCACAACCATGCACAGTGATTCCATGATTGCAAACTGAGGCTCTTGAATTAAGTACACTAAGACTTCCCACTCGCTCATGATTACTTCATAAAATATTCCTCAATATTCAAGCAGTCCAAATATCCAGTTTTAGTTTAAAATCTTTTGAGGCTATTTAAAAAAAGCTAAATTTTTGTCAAAAGTACAAGCTTCAACAGAGAAATGAACATATAACAGGTTTTTTTATGTTGAATTCCTGCAGCTTCATGACTAAACTGTCTTCAGAGCTTGCCAGTCTAATTTCGTTCTTGTTAATATTCAAGAGTAGTTGTTGTTTCATGAAGGGTTCACATGGGTGCTAGAAGACTAATAATCATATCACTTGGATTTGTATCACGTAAAATTATAGATTCTTAAACTTTAATTCAGTACTGCACTTGTACAAATAATTACTATATATTTTTTCTGTTAGCCTAATTACTGGCTAAATAGTTTGTGTTGAGTATAGAATATATATTTTTCCTTATAGAAATTAGTATTTCTACACTGGTTTTCTAGGAGATGCTGCAAAAAGGAGGTAATACTCTGCTATTACTGTTTGTAGTTCACTAATTACTCGAGCCACATGGGCAATAACTGCACATACAATATTGTCAAAGTCCTGCATGACAAGTTTTGTCTTTCTCACAATGCTTTCCATAAGACTGTGTGTCTGGAAGCATCAAAATATATTAAATGGCCCACAGTGTATAGGCCCTTATATAGTAGGCTTTGGTAAAATAATATTAATTCTATCTATATTATATACAGTATTTGGTTGCTTTTAATACAATATTCGATAGTATAATAACAAAAATAGTTCTAAGTACAAGATATGCATACAACAATTTCTAGGCATTTCAGAAATATGGAAGTTAATTTCCAGATGTTGTAATAATAATTTAGTACAACTTTTGGGAACTGTTAGATAGTGTCCCTGCGCATAGGTGATGGAGGCACAATAATGGTGGGTGTAGGCAAAGGTAGGGACGAACACTGCTGTGTAGATGGATGTCTATCACCAACATCAACCCTTGTGGTCTCACTAGGGGCAGGGGGCAAACTGGGGATAGCAGTAGTGTTTTGAATGGGGTTGATGGAATCCTGAGGGGTGAATATGGAGGAGGCATTGGCATAGGTCTCTTCAACGGTGGGAGGGGGACTGCAGGCAACTGAAAGGGTCTCCTGCCGATGAGATGTGGGCGCAGCCCCAAGCAGGTATGAAGACGGGCACAAACTGCCCCTGGGAGAAATGGAGTGGAATTATTGTGGTGATCCCAGAATGAGCACAATTACTAAAGAGGACTTGAAAGTTTTGGTGCATATCAGGATATTGAAAGGAACATGTATAATGAAGGAAGAGTTGGGATAGGTAAGCTTAATGTAAATTAGATTCAGTAGTAGTAGTGGTGTGGTAGAAGAAATATATATGCTGGAATTTTGAGAATACTGTAGAGTTCTATATGATAACATCGGGAACACAGAATGTAAGGAAGTAAACAAAGGTGGCATAGTATTAAAGTAAAAGACATGCAGAGAGTGAAAGACACACACTGCAGGAATGGTAGAAGGCAGGATGGGAGTGGAAGGTTCAAGATTCACGGAAGACCACATGGCCCCAGGCCGGGCTCGGGGAGAAGAACTAAACTACTCCCGAGACCCCTTGCCGGGTAAGGCCACTAACATGGGGACAAGGGTAACAGTGTAGGGGATGTGACAATGTTGTTCTGGTCAACAGATGCATACAATACTTTGTGTTGTAAGAATTTAGTAACAAGTGGAATGTGAGTTACAAGTGTGGCATGTGGGTGAAAGTACACAGTTACTTCATCAAGCAACAACAGGCACTAGAATAACCAAAGCTCTGAGGTCTAGCATATCAAGTAAAAAATATTGCAGTAAAGCTGCATAATTAAAAAAAACATCTGTACATGGAATGAATTCAGAAAAAATATTGCCTTTGTCTATTAAATTAATCAAAATTATTTTTTAATTTACAAAATAAATAGACCTAGAAAAAATCTCACCACATCTCTATACTGTATTCTTACACTACATAAAATAAATATACATAACCCTTAATATATATGAACATTTTTATTTAAATAATTTTCTTTCCTGTCCATTATTGTCTAGCAATAAAAAATATTAATAGGGAAGAGTAATAATTTCCAGCATGTAGGAGTTACCTAGGAGAAGTCGGGTAGTGAGGACTGAGCCGAGGTGATGCAGGGTTCGTCATGTCAGAGTCAAAGTCAAAGCGGCGCTCAATTCTGGTAAGTCTCTGCTTGATCTTTTGCTGGCCACTCGAGTACTCCGCCAAGAGTCGTGCCAACCGAGTGTTGAGTGTATCAATGGCTGTTTCTGCGAAAAGGATGAGGGCACTAGGCGGTGATACAGACTATAGTGCTAAGGAACTGTGGTTGTGCAACGTAAAATATCACGATGTCTAAAGGTAGAGTACCTGCTAAAATTGAGTGTAAAGGATTATTAGAGTAATGATAATGGCCCAGGACAGACCAAAACATCGTTGCTGCTCCATCTTCCGAATTGTGATTTGGTCATCATTATTGAGTAGGTAAACTTAATAATATATCAGAACCTGGGGTGCTTGCTTTACCCAAGAATATATTTGATAACATTTGTAGGAAAATATCTAATACAAGTGTAGGAGATATATGACAATTTGATAATTTTCTGAAACTGATAATTTTCTAAAAATGCTTTATACAGTAATTAAAATAATTAATATGGACTCTCTCAGGAGAGGCAGAATGGTGGAGGGAGCCAACACGTGAGGAAGTAGATGTTATTCCACTGTCAATCCATTATTAGTGCTATTAACACTTTGTCTGGCCTGGCCCACTACCCCCAGCACATCCCAAGGTCAACCGAGTGTTTCCTGTGAGTGCACACTCGCACTAAAATGTTTATGCTTTTTTCACTTTTTGCACCTTAATGTTTGTGCTACATCATTCATTTTAGTACCAAATTGTTCACAATAGAATGCTCTAAAAGGATATACGTATATAAGGTCAAAAAGCCTGGTGCACCACCCGCATCAAGCCTAAAAATCAGCCGAATGTTACCCATGAGTCCGCACCCACCCGCACTCAAATGTTTATACTCTTTTTCAGTGTTTATACCTCAATTTTCGTGCTACATTGTTCATTTTGGTATCAAATTGTTGCACAATAGAATGCTTTAAAGGGATATATGCATAGAAAGTCAAATGGCCCTGCACACCACCTGCAACACACCTGAAGATAGGCCGAGTTTTATCCGTGAGTACACACCCACTTGTACAAAAATATGTATAATATACTCTTTCCAGTCTTCCCGCCTTAATTTTCATGCTACGTAGTTCATTTTGGTATCAAATTGTTTGCAATTAAAAGGTGTGCATTGTAAAACTAGTCCCATAATAATTGAACAATAAATGGAATTTTAATACAGTAATTTTTATTTTGGATTTTCAGTGTGCATCCTCACACACCATGAATACAGTATATTTACATACAGACAAATTATGTGTTATCGGTCAAGCAAAGTGTTAAGACATTCAGCAAGACTACAACACGTCAATTTCTCCACCTCACCACCATTGACACCTTTGACTATTATGTTGTGCAGTAGTTTGGCCAAATATACATGTACATGAGTAGTTGATAGAATGTAGTTGAGTGCAGTTATGGGAATACCAACTATAACCATAATGTAAACATCATTCATATCTTTTAGCATCCTTGCAAAAGTGAGGAAAACATAATATAACAAGTACCTTGCCTGCAGGAATGGTTGTGGAGATAAACGTTTCACCCACTAGAGACTGATGTGTGTTACAGCAGCCATATTGGTATCTGCACATGATTGAACCATGACCAGACTCCTAGCCAGCTAAGACTTATATCTTTTAAATAACTCAATTATTACTAATACTATATGATTTGTATAACTGTTGAACTTATACTGTCCTGTGCTTGTTGGTAATTTAAGTTAGGATTGATAGTGGAGTCAAATTCTGTTCTGAGATTATTTGACAGTGCCGCCAAGTTCTAAATTAATTGTTTGACACGTGTACCACTTTTGTTCATGCAGGGTGCATGATCAGCTGCATGGTTGGTCATTTGAGCAAAAACCAGAATAAGAAGAATGAGAACTTTGAAATCAAGTTTAAATGAAGAAAATTCCCCATACCCACTGAACTGTTTAAGTTCAATTTAAATGAAAATAAAAGGACTAATAAAGAGGTGTGTGGTAGAATAAAGTACCAATAATTCATAGTGTTCATTTAAGCTCATAATAATTCACACAAGGCCATTTTGGTAATTTTACCCCAACATTATTTTTGAGCAATAATATACCTATTTTTATTCAAAGACCAATATATAAAGTACATGAACTTGTCTGATGACTTACTAAAGTTTGACAACTTTTCCCATTTCCTTCTCAAAGTAGAAACTATGTCTGATAACTTTCTAAAGGAGAGTGACTACCTTACCTTACCTTGAGGTGCTTCTGGGGCTTAGCGTCCCTGCGGCCCGGTCGTCGACCAGGCCTCCTGGTTGCTGGACTGATCAACCAGGCTGTTGGACGCGGCTGCTCGCAGCCTGACGTATGAGTCACAGCCTGGTTGATCAGGAGGCCTTTGGAGGGACTATGGCTAAGAAACTATTAAAAGCAGGTGTGTGTATAGACCTACCAAAGCGATTGACCTTGTCTATGGTGGTTTCGTGCTGCTCTTGTGCAGCCTTAAGTCCTTCCTCATCCAGTAGTCCATCCTTCATTAACAGCTGACGACCACGCTCCATCAGTGACTTCTTCGCCTCTGGGTACTGCAACAGTGTCGTTGAGCTCAAGTTAAAGGGTATGGGATTGTGGCAGCTATCATGGTGTTTGTGTATGAAAGACAACAGTAGCATAAAAAGAGTAGAGAATGACGAATATTGCAAAACTTGGTAAAAAAAAAAATTCTGGGGGAAGCCCCTACGGCTCCCCGGAGCAATCCAGGCTGATATGGATACACAGTATTAGACTTTGGCATCAGTCATGTGAATGGAGTTCTTAGGCCTACTGGGGACCACGAACCAGAACCTGGTCCCCTCAAAGAGGCATGAGGAGCAATGACCTATAAAAAACATCTGTGCAGTTGGAAGCATGCTATGTCTGCCATCGACCAGGTCAGGCACCCAGAAAGGAAAGCGCCCCAAAACAAACCCCCTATTCTGGTTAAGAAATTGCTACTAAAAGCTAAACTAGTGGACAGAATTCCTCAAACGAAAACGAGCATGACATCACCACGTCACTTGTCTGTACAGCTTCCTCCTCACCGGGAGGGTGAAGGCAGAGCCCCAGACCCCCATACCAGCTACCCACACCCCAATCACATCAGCTCAGTTCTGTGGCTGATGTGATTGGCAATGGTCGTGTGACTCTGGCTCCTGTTTTCATTTTCTATCCTCCAGCTCTGTGCTGTGTGGTGTGGAGCTGTTCTCTATTGGTGCACGAGCCAGCAGTAATCTCACAAGTATTGACTGCATACGCCTAGGGTCACCTTTCCTAGGTGCCCTGTAAGTACTGTCCTTGGGGTTTGGGGCCCCCTTCCACAAGTCACCTTGGGCTCTACCTCTGTTTGGTCTTTTGCTGCTCAGTGATCAACCCCCTTTAGTGTGCTGGGGTGTTTCATGCAAACTTGTTTGCCTTTGGGTAAGAGGTAGTTTGCACTGGTAGGACACGGGGAGTTTTCCCCTCTCGTAGCGGCCGGCTCTGTTCTGCCTTAGTACGTTGTCCTCTTGCGTTTTTTTTTTCCTGCCTGGGGGGGGGGAAGGTTCTGCCCTTGGTTTTGGTTACCCCCTATAGTTCTTAATGGTCCCCTGTTTGGCCCCCATGGGTGGACAGATCCGGGGGGTTCAGCTTTTAGCAGTTTTCTTGGTAGACTTGGGCACTGGTTAGCAGTATCCTGCCTGGGCTTCCCTTAGCGTGTTTCCCATCTAAGGGCCCTGGGAAACTCTGTAGGGGCCCCTTTGGTCCAATGGATGTGACCCCCTGGGTCTCCTCTCACCTTGTGCGAGTTCGAAGGTTGCTCTGTCTCCTTGTCTCAGGGTGTCATTCACTGCTTCTGCCTCCGTCGTGCTGCCTGATGGGTCGGTGACACCTTCAACCCAGAGTGCTGTGAATTTTGTTGCTTGTTGGTGACTCAGTACACCCAGTCCACAGATGACTATTTGGGTGCAGGCAGCTCAGGCATTTCAGGCTAGGTTTAGATTGCTGCACCACATTAGGTTGGTTGCTGACCCGGGATCCCAGAGGCCGCCCCGTTTTGGTTTTAGGGACCCGGACTTCGGGGTGTTGGTCGCTTCGACCTTAGTCTAGTCCGCACCCTCTTGTCCTTCTCCTGCTGTGGTTCATTCTGGTCCCCTCCCCTCCCCCTGCTTCCGGCTACAAAGCGTCTGAGAGTTTCGGAGTCGGGGCTGGGTTTAGTTAGGTTGGAGGCTCAGGCAGTCTCGGGGAATGTCCCTTCTAAGGTGGCAATGGAGGCATTCAAGCCTGTTCCTCCTCCAGAAGTGTATAGGGACCAGTGGTCCCCTTCCTTTCTGTTTTCATGGCTGCTTCAGCTTTTTCTTGTGAGGCTTACGAGGGAACGACACGACCCCGTGTCCTGCTGTGGAGGTTCCCGGGGCCGGGGAGGGGCTGACTTTGGGGTCTTGGGTCCCTTTGGACCCCACTTGGGTTTTTGTGCCCTTTGAGCCGGGTTTTTTTGTTACAAGGGGTGGGGTTTTCTTTTTTCCCCTTCCTCGTATGAGTTGGATTTGGTGTCAGTCCCTCCCTGGGTTCGGTTCTGTGTCCCTTCAGGTCAGTCAGTCTCATCCTTCCAGGGGTTTTCAGCTTCCCGTTTCCCGCCTCATGAAGTGCGGGAGGCCATTGCAGCTTACCTCCTGAATGGGTAAACTGGAGCACAAGCAGAGAACACGTCTCGCAAGACTCCGGGTCAAAGGTGTCATTGACCTAACAGGCAGCATGACAGAGGCAAAACAGGTGACTGTCACTCTGAGACAAGGACACAGAACAACCTTCAAATACGCACAAGGCGAGGTGGAACTCAGAAGACACATCCATCAGTCAACCGAGCCCCAACGGGGTTTTCCAGGACCCGTAGGGATGTCTTCTGCAGGAAGCCCAGTCAAGGTACTGCTAGCCGGTCAAACTCAAAAGCTAACAAAGGGGGAGGTGCTAAGAACTGGACCCCTGTGACGTGTACAAGCACGGGGGCCTAGAGGAGGGCCACCAATATTCCCTATGTGGACTAATAGTCAGACAAAGCAGACCCCCCCCTCCTGGCAAGAAAAACAAAAAGAAAAGAAAAATCCTGCAAAAGTACAGTGCCACCAGAAGAAACAGGAACACAGCTGCCGTGTAGGTAAGCAAGCAGCGTAGCACCTTCCGCCCCAACCAGCAACACCACCACTTCCTACCCAAGGCCAAACAAAGGAAACTAAACCTCAGCTGGCCCCAATGGTGGGGTAAATGCCGAGCAGCAAAAACCCCTACGGAAGTGGAATACCGAAGGCTCTATGGGAGGTAACCCTAGAACCCAAGGGCACCTAGGGAGGGTAGCCCTAAGTGCATGCAGCCCCAGTACACTGTAATTACTCCTGGCCACCACACCACAAGGAGCAGGAAACGCCACGAAGGCACAAAACCTGCCAAGAAATCGAGGCCAGAATTGATGACCGACCCAGAGCACATCAGTCTACGAACTGAAGGTGTGAGTAGCTGGCATGGGAGATCCCGGGCTCTCCTCCCGGGGAGGGAAGGAGGGGAGTGCACGGACAAACGGCACTGTGGCAGTGTATGACATTTGCTTGTTTGCTTGTTTCATTAAGTTTTGGGGAGTTCTGTCTCTCTGTTCAGTCTTCGGTTGCAATTTTTTACCAAATGGGGTCTGTTTTGTTATGCCTATCATTCTGGGTGCATATAACCCCGGTCGATGGCAGACATGGAATGCTCCCAAACACATGGGGGTTTCCATGAGCCATTGCTTCCTGTGGCTCTGTGGGGGCCAGGTTCTGGCTCGTGGTCCCTGGTAGACTGAACTCCATTGACTGATGCCCCCCTAGGCTAACATAGCGTATATCAGTCCGATAGCTCCAGGAAGCCTCCAGGGTTCATCTAGAAAATGGTGTTTCATTACATTCAATGCTGGTTTTTTGTGATGGTGATGTAAACATTATTAGAGAAAATAAATTAATTTAGAAAATAAATATAAAAACAAAATGGGTAGGAGGTAGAAAAATAAATCTAATACACAAAATAATAATACAATGCAGAGAAGCATTCTTAGCCACAAAAAATAATAATACAATTATGAAGTGCAGGCAAGCTTACCTCAGTTAGGGCATCCCAAAGGTCATCCTTGGAGAGGCAGAAGAGGTCAGAGTAGCCAACACTGCGGACGTTGGCAGTTCTCCTATTGCCTGTCTTATTCCCTGCGATATTCAGGATTGACACCTGTAGCATGTGATAGATTGGTTAGCAAGTACAGTAGTAGTAGAGATTGGTAGTGGCTGTGGTGGTCAAGGTTGTGGTAGTGAGTATAGTGGTGATGGCTGTAGTGGTGGTGGGGATGGTGGCAGTGGTGGTGGGTGTAGTGGTGGTGGGTGTAGTAGTGGTGGGTGTAGTAGTGGTGAGTGTAGTAGTGGTGATAGTGGCTGTATGGTGGTGGAGGCAGCTGTACTGGTGGTGGTGGTAGTGGCGGCGGCCATAGTAGTTGAGGCTGTGGTGATGGTGGCTGTAGTAGTCGAGGCTGTGGTGGTGGTGTTGGTGGTGGTGGCTGTGATGATGATGGTGAATGTGATGGTTAGGGTGGTTGCGATGGTGGTGGCTGTGATGGTGGTAAATGCATTTGCATTGGGTTGATAAATTCCAGTTACAAGGGCACCTCAGTTTACGAATTTAATCCGTTCCTGGAGACGGTTCGTAACCCAAAAATTCGTAAACCGAAGCGAATTTTCCCATAAGAAATAATGGGAAATGAATTAATCCGTTCCTGACTCCCCAAAAACTTTACTTCAAAGTAAATTTTATACCTAATTCACCCAAATCTTCACTACAAAAGTATGTACAATTTATTACTTACCTTTACTGATGACTCCTGTTGGCATATGAAAGACGGTGAGGAGGGGGGAGGAGGATAGGTGTTACTGGTCCGAAGGGAAGTCCCCTTCCATTATAACATCAGGCAGTGAGGACTTCTCTGGGGTGCACTCTCTGGCACGTTTTGCCTGCATACCACTAGGGCTTGCTTCTGGTCACTGCGGCTCACTGCATGATTTTCTAATTGTTTTTCTTGAAGATTGTTTTTCGCTTCTTTGTAACACTTGTCTGTAGTGAGATATCACATTGTCATAAATAAGATCAATGCAATGGCCTGCTAAAGCTTTATCTGAGTGATTCTTTTCAGCAAAACTTTGCAGTTCTTCCCATACTGCACACATTTTTTTAATTAATGAGGAAGAGACATCCTCTACTGCCAAGTCTTCCTCCCCTGAAGATTTGTTATACTGCCTAGCTAGTTCAACAACACGTGTACCATTTTCATTTTACGAATGATCTCTTGTTTTTCTTCTGTCATTCTCACATGTGATTTCTTGCTTTAACCTTACCACTGGCTTTCTTGGGACCCATGGCAAGATATATAATAACAACTTTTATGCTTAAATAGCCAAAAATCTGATAAAACTGTAAATCCTTGTGAAGAATTCAGGCGGGATAGTCACTGTGCGAGTCACTGGTAAACTGAGGCGCGATCGCCGTGCCACAACACGCTAGGTCGGCCGTACGCGTATTAACAAACTCGTATCCCGAGGTAAAGTTCGTAACCCGATTCAAATTTTCCAAACAAATCGGTCTTGTAACTCGAAAAGTTCGTAAACAGGGGCATTAGTAAACCGAGGTATCACTGTATCTGGAAAATGACATAATACAAATTTTCAAGCAGAGCGATGAGCTGATAGTCCAAAGCCATATCATTTTGGGCCATTTTCTCCAGTTTCCCTAACTGGAAACAATAATCAGGTAGAGAACAGTAAAATAAGTACAAAAAGCAAAATTCACAACAGGAAGGTAGATTGTTTTAGAGGGAAGAAGATAAACTCTATAAACCATTACTACACTGTGGCAATGTTTATGGTGCCATCCTTCACAAAATGTTAATGTACTGGCATACAATCCGAACCTTGTGAATCACAAAAAGATGGAGGATGTCTAGAGGTAAGCCTTAGATAAGCAAAGGACCAGAGAAGCCATGATTACAACATGTAAAATACTGCAGAGAAAAGACAAGAGTGATGGATGTTAAAATGAGGGATAATTAGACAAGATGACATTGATGGAAATTTGAAATATAAATGAATCAAGGAAATGTAAGAAAGTATTAATGTGTGCAAAGCAGGTGGTAAGAATATAGATTGTTACCTCCATTCAGAGTCTCACAGCAAGTTTAACAGTGAACTAGAGCAGGAAAGATTTAAGATTGAAAAGCACCAGGTACCAGTAGATATGAGTCAGCACTGTAGGCACTGATAAAGTAAGAACCTCATCTAACACTACACCCAACTCACATTACACCCACCTCGCCGAAGACACTGCCAGCTCCGAGTGTAGCATAGACCGTCCTGCCATCGTCACCAACCACGGAGAGCTTCCCTCGCTTCACGATGTACATTTCTTTCCCTACATCACCCTTGCGGCACACGAAGTCTCCAGGGCTGAATACCTGAGGGAGGGCGATAATTGATGAGTGAGGGAAGAAGTTAGGGTGAGGGGAAACAGAAATTAGGGAAAGATGGAGGGTGAGTGAGAACAAGAGTGGAAGCACTATTGTGAAAGAATAAGCTTCGCAGGGACATTGCCATATATGTTGCCACAGATGAGGTGAAGGTGAAGCACCTGACTTATTACAGCTTACCAATCTATGTTTCCATGATGGCTGGGGCAGTATATTGTATGTTTCATTGTGTTTTTCAAGATGACAGGTAATTTGGTGCTAGTTAGCTGTTTATATTTGTCTTGCTTGCTTGCTTGAGATGTAATGCTTCTCCAATGTCCAGTCTTCTATTGTTGCTATATTTGTTGATTGTTTTGGTGTTATTTGTCAGGATATCTCTCTCTCTTGATGATCTAGTTATGTGTAGAGGCTATATGTTCCATGATAGGGCCTTGCAAAGCCCTATCAAGGAACATGTAGGCTCTACACAGTATACATTAAGCAAATCAAACCTATATGTTCAGCAACCTAAAACCAAATTGCATTCTACCATCTTTGAGAACATGATGGAACATACAATATACTGTCCCAGCCATCATGGAAACATATATTGGTAAACTGTAATGGGCCTATTGGCCCATATGTGAGGTGCTTCACCTTTACCATCCCCAGTTATTTTATATTATAATATAAAAAATATATATATATATATATATATATATATATATATATATATATATATATATATATATATATATATATATATATATATATATATATATATATATATATATATATAAGAAAATCAGTAAGAACCATGAAGAGGATTTTAACCAGCAGTCTGGGTACTCCAAGGCAAGCACTGTAGACCATTTAACTGCAACATGCTTAAAAGCAATGCAACCTCGATTCAAGTGAATCCTCTAGGGGTCCTGAGACTTCCACTGCAGCCCACTCAGGGTTTCACACATTGCCTGCATACACTCTGCCTGTGGTATAGGGGTTCTACCTCCAATGCTTCGCTTCATATACACAAATAAGTCACAGTAACATGATGTATCAATGAGAAACTCAGTAGGAGGTATGAAGAGGATTGGAATCTGCACACTGGGTGTGGCTAAGCACATGCCTTAGATCACTTAACCAAGATATGCTCAAAGGCAATGCAACCTGTAATTCAACTGAATCCTCTAGGGATTCTGAGGCTTCCACTGAACCTCAGTCAGGGATTCACACATATTTTCTGCCCAACTAGAACTTTATGCCTTCCCTTGGTGCCACTTTGCCATGAAGGTGTTGTATTTATTTATATTTATACTGTATATACAAGACTTCTTACACTCTTGTAAAGCCACTAACATGTATAGCATTTGATGTTAGATGATCCATGCTCTTGTCATATAAATTGTGGCACCGTCCTAACATTGTGGCATCATCCTTATATCGCGACACTCTCCTCATATCGTGATTCACACATATTATACTGTCAAATGTTAGCGTAAAAAAGATTAAATTTTTGTTTGAAAGAGTTAGTTGTAACTTATAACCTACGACCCCCTTCACTCTTTTGTGATTACCCCCACCAACACTCGCGAGTATTACATACTGGTAACTCACATAAATCTTGACTGACCTGCAACTTGAGTTTGAGTACGAGCTCGACCAAGAGTCCTGGCTCACAGTCCTGGAAGATTCGGACCTGTTTGAGTGTGTCAAGGTGCACGTGGATGGCTATCTCGGCCTTGAGCTTGTCTGGCAGCGACCTCAGCACCTAATGGAGGAGGGTTTGGTGAGCCAGTGGTGATGGAGGCTGAGATTGTTTGGAGAGCTGGAGGTAATGGTGGCTGAGATAGTATACTCACCTAGTTATGCTTGTGGGGTGGGGGGAAGGTTGAGCTTTGGCTCTTGATGAGATGGTAGTGATGATAGCTGAGAGTGTGTGGTGAATTGGTGAACTATCATAATGGTAGAACAATGACGTTTTAACTACCAGCACAATAGCCAAATTATCTAATAATTACAACATGCTAGCTAAATGACTTGTTAACTACCAACATAGTACAGTACCAAAATGACCCATTAACTACAAGTTTTAAGAGTCTCGGTAGTTCAATTGGGATCGCTCTCGATTCACAATCTGGAATCCAAGGCGTTTCCTTTCACCCAATGCCTTTTGTCACCTCAAGATTAAGATTAAGATTACCAAGCAGTAAACAGGTACATAATATCAGTATAATAGGAGTTAGTCACCTATCATGGAGTCAGTACCTGCTGTGGGGTTGCATCCTGGGCAAGGTCAATAATTTAACCTTCAATTTACAGTGGTACCTTCGTTTACAAATTTAATCCGTTCCCAGAGATGGCTCGTAAACCAAAAATTTGCAAACCGAAACAAATTTTCCTATAATAAATAATATAAATTTAATTAATATTTTTGGGAGTGTGGAATGGATTAACTTCAAAATACATTTCATACATAATACTGTACACACAAATATTTTGTACTATTGTATGTACTGTACAAGTTATAGCTTACCTTTATTGATGACTCTTGTTGGTATATGGAAGATGGTGATGAGTTTGGGAGGAGGAGAGGTGTCAGTGTTTGGAAGGGGAGTCCCCATCCATTATAACATCAGGCAGTGATTTCTCCGGGGTACTCTCTCTCCGACGTTTTGCCTGCATACCAATAGGACCTGGCTGCTCACTGCTTGTTTTTCTCACTAAGAAACTTTCCACAGAGACTTGTTTTTCTCTACGTTTTAACATTTGTCTGTAGTGAGGCCTCACAGTGTCTTTAAAAAGGTTAAGGCAACAGCCTACTGCAGCTTGATTTGGGGCGAGTCGTTTCAACAAAATTTTGCATTTCTTCCCTTAGTGAACACCACTTCTTAATTGTTAAGGAACCCATGATGTGGTATATAATAATTACTTTTATGTTTAGAAAGCAAAAAAGCTGAAAAAATGAAATTCTTTACAAAGAATTCAAACATGATCATCACTAAGCGGGAGCCACTGGTAAACTGAAGCGAGGTTGCCCGTGCCACCAGGAACCACATGCTCGGTTGACCCATACATGTACAGTGTCAACAAGCTCGCAAATTGATGCAAAGTTCGTAAACCGATTCCCAAATTCTACGAAGAAATTGTGCTCGTAACCCGAAAAATTAGTAAAGCGGGGCATTCGGAAACCGTGGTTCCACTGTATATCCGGATGTAAATATAATATATATATTACATTTACATCCGGATATACTGTATAAGTACAGATACAGTACCATCAAACTACACAAATTGCCCTCTAAATACTATATTAGCCAAATTGCCCCTACATAACTACCACCCATTATGCAAACAATCCTGTAATTTCTATATTGTTATCTTTATTAGCATCCCATAACTACTGCCATACAACCCAAATGACCTTTTAGCTATCATTGTACAAGACAGAGGGCCTCATAACTTCCTGTGAAATAAGCCAACAACCACATAACTGCAGTCTTTCTAGTCAAAGGCTCATTTGTAGTCATGGGATCTCTCACAATATTAGATCATGTTAGTTTACTACATTTGCCAGATGACCCTTAATTAACACACCCTAGCTACATGATTCAGATTCAGATTCAGATGTTTATTCAGGTAAGGTATATACATACAAGTGATGTTACATTAATGGATTGATATATAGATAGAGCTAGTACATACAATGCCTAAAGCCACTATTACGCAATGCGTTTCGGGCAAGAAAAACATTAATATCTAGAACTTAATACTAATTGAGCATAAAGAATAAAAAGTGTTGAGAACAAATACAAATAAAGATAAAAAAAAGGGGGGAACATGACTGAAAAAGCAGCACAAATACAATAGGTTGACAAACAGTGTTGATTAAAAAAAAAGAAAATAACGGACATGGGTTGACAATAGAGGAGTGAGGTAGGTTACAGGGAATTTATTAGGTAGTGTTTAGTTTTTATCTTAAACTGGTTGAGAGAGGTACAGTCTTTAACATGGTTGGGAAGGTCATTCCACATTCTGGGCCCCTTGATTTGTAGAGCATTTCTGGTTTGAATAAGTCGTACTCTAGGAATATCAAAACTGTATTTCTGGTGTGGTGCTCATGGGTTCTGTTACAACCTTCTATGAAGCTTTTGAGATCAGGATTGGCATTACAATTTAGCGTTTTGTATATGTATAGTACACATGAGAGAATGTGCAGTGACTTAATGTCTAACATATTCAGGGATTTGAATAGGGGTACCGAGTGATGTCTGGGGCCAGAATTGGATATTGTCCTAATAGCAGCTTTGTGTTGAGTAATTAGAGGACATAAATGATTTTGGGTAGTAGAGCCCCAAGCACAAATACCATAGTTGAGATATCATAGTTGAGATACCATAGTTGAGATACCATAGTTGAGATGATGTAAAAGTATCAGGGACTGACCCCTTCTTCGTCGAGCGATTGCTTATTACTCCACAGGTAGTCGAACCACTTGATCACTCTCGTCTCAAGGTCCTTTGACACTTTTCGGAATTCCATGTACTGCTTTACTCCATCCATGCGGTTCTGTAACAAACAAAAAATTGCATGAAATTACTGTAACTTATATTTAAGTCAGATATTTGTCAAAGTATTCTTTCGCTCTATCTATGTGAGCATAAAACAACCTAGCAATGTCTTCGTTTGGGATTCTTCACTGGCATGAATCATTTTTATGTCCATGGAGTAATTATAACTAATACCTTTTCCAAATTTTCAGGTCAAATCTGGTTTAACAGCTGATACTATGTGAATATTATCTGGAATTTACCCCTTACACTATAAGACGAGCTCAAGACATGGAAAGCTCTAGTAACTTAATATTATCCTCCTAAACAGATGGGAATATGCTCACATAATAATACCTCTCTGCACATCTGGCCATCATAACATACCTGAAACTCGGCTCTGGCAGCGTTCATGTTGGTGATCATGGAGCCAACGTTGCCAACGATGGTGGCGAAGATGAGAACTCCCACTAGGAAGTCTACTACCACGAACAGGTACTCCTCATCGCGTTCAGGCTGAGGAGTCTCCCCAATCGTCGTCAGTGTCAGTGTCGACCAGTAGAAGCTGCCGGAGGAGGGCGATGCTACTCTCATGTGCAGTGACACAGTGATCCCTAAATATAGTTAGTTTTATCTTATATCAGTGTCAACAGACAGAGATAATCAGGATAGCAAGGTATACAGAGAGAAAGTGACACAGTAGGACAGATTTACATACTGTATATACAGTATAGGAGTACAGAAACATATGTACAGTATAGTGATATAAAATGCAGAAACATTTGTATAGTGAAATAAAATGCAGAAACAATTGTATAGTGATATAAAATTACATAAAATTTCATAAAAAATACATCAGATGAATAGTATTATTACCTACTATTGTATAGTGACCTTTGATGTACCTTTAAATGGGCTTCCAAATTAATATTGGATCCAGTGACCCACCTGTAGATGTATTGGTGAGAGAATTTGCCATTCCTCCCGATGGTAATGTTCTTGTACACCCAGCCGTCGCTGCCAAATCCAATGGCATAGGATATAGCGAAGTAGAGACAGGCATTCCAGTGGATGATAATGAGGATATACAGCACTACCTTGCAGATCCGAAAGGCGTTTGGAAAGTTGGTCCGCGTTTCTGTCTTGTCAAAGAACTCTCTCATCCTCGGGATCCTGCAAAGGAGGAAAGTTTTGAGGGGTGTGTCTGAGAAGAATGGTGTTTGGGAGGGATGGTGTGTGTGTGTTCAGGAGGGATGGTATGAAGGTGTGTGTTCAGGAGGGATAGTGTGTGTGTGTGTGTGTGTGTGTGTGTGTGTGTGTGTGTGTGTGTGTGTGTGTGTGTGTGTGAGGGATGACAGAGATATGCATGACACATAGAACATAATGAAAAAAGTTTAAGAAAAAGAGACAATTCTCTCATCCTTTTATCTTGATTTCCCACTTTGTATCTCCTTCCTCTAACAGTCAAAACAAATAGCCTATCCTTCTATATCTTTGACTGTTTTCTATGTGGTCATCATGTCTCCCATGTTGTTCTGCTTCCAGCAGAACATTTAATTAGATTTAACTGAGGTTTAATTTCATTAGCCTTTCCTCATTACAAATACCAGTAATTCTCAACTCTGAGACTAAATCTCTGGGCTAATTAAAAAAAAAATGTTTAATGAGATATGAACTCATACTGGTGTGTATATTATAGTATTAGTCCGATGTATATTGCAGTCAAGTTCCTGAACGACTGAACAACAAATGAACAACAAATGATATCCGTAGATGATGCCTTTAGGAGATAGGTTTGTTCAGATCTCAAGTCCCAGGTCTTTATTCTTACAGTTTCCAAAAGTTTTCTTTATCAATTGGTACTTTGCATCCAGCTTTCTGTACCCAGCACCCACTTTATTACCGTCTATTTACACAATTTAACCATAAGCATTTGGTGGATAAATCTTTCAATTTGTATAAGTCATTATGAAGTTTCTGGTAGTTTTCCACTGTATATATTATCTTCAGAATTTTTGCATTAGCTAACATCAAGACTAAGGATTCTATTGCCTATGGAAAATTGGTTTCATAGATCAAGAAGAAGATAGGCCTTAACACTGACTAGTGTGGGACCCCCACCTGGTAACATCTCACCTCTCATTAGCCTCCCATAACTGTGACTGTCTTCAGATGCTTTAATGTTTCTTACACCATACTCTGGAATACCTTCTTTGACACTACTGTCTGTTTCTCAGAGTTGTGTACTAATTTTGTATTGAGTGTAGTATAGAAGACTATCTGACTGTCCAAAAATATACAATCTACCAGTCTTTGTACTCACCTAGTTGTGCTTGCGGGAGTTGAGCTCATTGGTTCCGCCTCTCGACTGTCAATCAACTGGTGTACAGGTTCCTGAGTCTATTGAGCTCTGTCATTCGAAACTGTGTATGGAGTCTGCCTCCACTACATCACTTCCTACTGCATTCCATCTGTTAACTACTCTGACACTGAAAAAATTCTTTCTAATATGTACTTTCTAATATGTAATACTAATTTTAGTATTATGCTTCCGCCTGTGTCCCCTTGCCAGCCACTTGGGCTGGACGGTAGAGCGACGGTCTCCCTTCATGCAGGTTGGCGTTCAATCCTCGACCTTCCAAGTGGTTGGAAACCATTCCTTCCCCCTGTCCCACCCCAAATCCTTATCCTGATCCCTTCCAAGTGCTTTGTAGTCATAATGACTTGGCGCTTTCCCCTGATAATTCCCTCTCTCTCTCTCTCTGTCCCCTTGTTCGTGTTCCACCCATGCTCAGTAGTTTGACTTTATACACCACTATACACCCACAAGGGTAGATGTGTATGTGCGTGTGTATTTATTATGTGTACCTGCAGAATCGAGCTATTAGATCTTGGACCTAGCCTTTCTAGCCAATCTAATTTTACTCTATTATACCTACCACGTATATTTCTCTCTGCACACGTGAACACAAACACATGCACATTCCCAGGAAGAAACCCGTAGCAGCTGTGTAACTCCCAGGTACCTATTTACTGCTTGGTGAACAGGTGCATCAGGAACTCGGCCCATGTGTTTCCGCCTCGGCTGGGAATCGAACCCAGGCCCTCAGGACTACAACCCCTGAACGCTGTCTACTCAGCCGCGAGGCTCCCCCTGCCCCACAATGTGTGTGTGTGTGTGTGTCTGTGTGTGTGTGTGTCTATTGTTCTTCCTGTCCATCACCAACCCTTCTCACCTGTCCGGCATCGCCCCAGCGCCTCCCTGCTCCCTTCCTTCCCTCCCTTACCTCAAGAGCCTGTTGATCCGGACGAGAACAGGACCAGGGACTAGTAGGCGGTGTGGGTCGTTCTTGTCGACGCTAGAACCCGTGGCAAAGTAGACCAGGTCGGTAGGAAAGATAGATACCAGGTCTAGCCGGAAGCCCAGCGACCTCACGTAGTTCTTTCGCAACTTCGACGGCTCTTTCACCATCAGACCCTGCTCCAAGTAACCTGTCGGAAAGGTGTGCGTGCATGTGTAAAAGGAACGATGATAACATGAGGGTATGTTGGGTTATTTGAGCCATCAATATATATATATAAGAGAGAGAATGTCTTGTATGTTCGAGGCTGAGGGACAGACACATTGGCCAGTCTTTCCAAACTTAGCAGGGTGATGAGTAATTGTATGGCGAGTGTCTTAGGTTGGTTGAGGTTGATCCTCCAGGCCCTTCTTTAAGGAAAATTGGCATCTATTGAGACAACCAACGAGTCTTAATAAGTCAAAAACGTGTGTTTGATTGTCAATAGTGTTTTCCAACTTTCTCGGCTGTTATCGACATTGAATCAATCATAGATTCAACGTTAATAACATAAATTCAACGTCGATAACGTAATTTCGACGTTGATAACGTAAATTCAACGTTGATTCAACATGGATAATGTTGATTCAACATTATTTGAGCATGCTTTCTTCACTGGGGAAAAGAGTGGAAGGTTTAAAGAACAGGAGAGAGAGAGAATGCAAGGGAGAGCCGAAGACTGGCAGAGCATGGGAGAAGGGTAGGGAAAATGGGGGGAAGAGAGAGAGAGAGAGAGAGAGAGAGAGAGAGAGAGAGAGAGAGAGAGAGAGAGAGAGAGAGAGAGAGAGAGAGAGAGAGAGAGAGAGAGAGAGAGAGAGAGAGAGAGAGAGAGAGAGAGAGAGAGAGAGAGAGAGAGAGAGAGAGAGAGAGAGAGAGAGAGAGAGAGAGAGAGAGAGAGAGAGAGAGAGAGAGAGAGAGAAAGAGAGAGAGAGAGAGAGAGAGAGAGAGAGAGAGAGAGAGAGAGAGAGAGAGAGAGAGAGAGAGAGAGAGAGAGAGAGAGAGAGAGAGATGGAGATGGTCAGAGACCCGACCACCGCCAATATCCCCGCCCCTCTCCTCTAGTGTTTAATAAATAAGCTTAACACACACGTACCTATATAACTGGTGTTCATGGGTAAACAACTGCACGTGTAAACAGGTAAAATGAGGACTATGATGAGGAACAAACAGAATAACACGTCCTTGTGGAGTGAATAAATTGAATGAATAAACTATAAATATAAACTATAATATGAATATAATATAAATAATAACTATAATATAAATATAATAATAACTATAATATAAATATAAACTATAAATAAACAACTATAAACAATGAATAAACAACTATAAACAATGAATAAACAACTATAAACAATGAATAAACTATAATGAGGATAGTTATGGGTCCCGGTAGTACAGACGGGTTCGTTCTCGACGTACAATAAAAAATTCCGGGTTTGAATCCCAGACGGGATAGAAATGGTTGAACATATTTTCTTTCACCTAATTGATCTGTTCACCTAGCAGTAACTAGTAAACTGGTCTTTATGGTAGGCATAAGGATAATAAAGAGATTATTGTGAAGGGTGTAGAGAAGTGAGCGAGAAGCAGTAGAGACAGCGTGAACAGGCACACAATTTAGAGGCAAGCAGAGGCAGGCAGTTTTTGTCTCTGGATAAACATAGTCTAGACACACACACACACACACACACACACACACACACACACACACACACACACACACACACCTGTGCGCCTAAGTACAGGCACATCTAGGCACATCTGTGTGCCTAGATAAACACACAGATTGTCTAGAGACAAACACACACTATAAGAGGCACGTACCTTCGTGTGCCCTGATGACCATGTCGACGAGGTAGACGCCGTCGCAGAGGTAGTCGCAGGAGAGCCAGAGGGCCGGGCTGAGGTTGTGCAGCTCCCAGAACACCGCCCTCCCGATGATCATCACCCAGTTGTACAGCAGCGCCACCGTCACCACCAACAACCACTGTACGGGGGAAGTAATGCCACATGGAAGATCAGCTGCCACGAGGAATTTTGTTTGGAAGGGGGAAAACATGATTAGACTAAAAAGAAAAATGTCAAATGAGGTGTTAACCAGTATCAGAACTTTAGGAGATTTTGAATCTCCTGGGCAGGACAGAAATGGTTAGGCGCGTTTTTTCTTTCACTTAATGTCTTTGTTTACCTGACAGTAAATGGGTACCTGGAAGAGGCGAGTATTATGGGGTTGCATCCTGGGATGGGTCGGTAGTTTGACGCTTGATCTTGTGGGGACCTAAAGTGTATATAAATGGGCTAAATTTTAATATGTTTGACGCTAAATAACTCGTTTTGTTGAACCTTTCAATATCTTCAGAGGCAGGAGGAAGTGGGGTACAACAAGTTAGGGGCCGCATCCGATCCCACGATCGTCGTCGCCCCTAAATCAACAACAACTAGTTAGCTAAGTCTACGAAATGTATAACCAAAAAGGATGAGATGCAGTTAAGTCACCCAGTGGATGTTGCCTAGGACAGTAAGGAAGATGTGAGCAGGCGCTCTTTAAAAGCCTAACTTTTAGGCTTTTAAAAGCCATATAATTAAGTATGAATCGTTAGGGGCCTTTCTGCCATCCTCAAGCTAGGCCTTTTGCCTTGAGGATGGTAGAATGGACCTACCTGTTGTAAGATAAATTTTTTTTGCCCCGAGGGGCGAGTTTATTGGGCAGCGCCACTCATCCTGTGAGTGGACACACCGCCATAGCAGCATGTACAACACTCCCCAATGGGAAGAAAACCCGCTGGGTTGTTCATCCTGTTAACTGTAAGATGATTGTCGATTGTTTGATGACAGTGGGGGGGTGGGGGGGCAGTGTTTGTTATGCAGTACTTCGCCTATGTCTAAGGGGTGGGGGGGGGGGAGGGTGCGTGCACATCTCTCCTCATATTTTGCCTGAATTTACCTGACAGCCACTAATAATTGTGGCTTCGACGAAGACAGGAAGCCGGCGGCTTCTCAAAGTATAAAGGGGGCAGGGAAGAATGTTTCATTATGGGAAGTGGGCATCTTCCACAATGGGAAGGGAGAAAGCACATCTTCCACAATGGGAAGGGAGGAAACACATCTTCCACAATGGGAAGGGAGGAAGCACATCTTCCACAATGGGAAGGGAGGAAGCACATCTTCCACAATGGGAAGGGAGGAAGCACATCTTCCACAATGGGAAGGGAGGAAGCACATATGTCAGGGGATGACGTGGGGAGTACACCTTCCGATACATTATCTAGACTGGTAACCGTAAAAGTCCCGAGCTGTTAGCGATCTTAAGAGAATTAAGATTAGTTACCAGGCGTGGCTCTGAATGGCCAGAAATCGCAAGGCAAGACTTGGCCTAAATCTAAGTATCAAAGACGCTAATAACCAGAACAGCGAGGGAAATAATTCGAGCATCATGAGAGCTCGGCTCATTATAAGTCCCCTAAAAGTTTTAAAGCAATGTATAAAATATTCATTTAATACAAAACTACGATTATAATAATGACAATAATAAAAAGTACAACAGGAGTTACTAAACCTACAACTTTTGTGTACTGTTTGCTCTCTTCCGTTCCCGCCCTCCCTCATGCGGTTCCCAGAGCCAGCTGTGGCATGGCCCTGCGCCTCACCTTGTAGTGGGCAGGCTTAGTAGTGTCTATGGCGAAGTAGCCCTTGAGGGCTCCGCAGCAGAAGGTATGTGTGGTGTCATCTGCCTCTCGCACCTGCCCCGCCATCGCCATTTTCTCCAAAAAACTATCCGGTCGCTCTTGTTCTTTCTCCTGGCTTCCCGTCGCCCACGCCCGCAGCAGCTGCTGGGTAGAAGGAAATATTAGTTTAATTTGGCATCTTATAGCCTAAATCTAAATATCACAGTAACAAGGCTATCGCGAATAACCGAAGTCAATTACGGCCTCACGATAGCCCGTGCTACATGGATGGACATTTTGTTCTGAGTAGCTAAATCTAAAAGAACAACAACAGCCCAAATCTGACTACTAGAAACTGGTTGTCTACTGAAAGAGTCATAGCTTCAGCACTGACTTTCTCAGTTAACACTACAATTCGTTGGATTAGATTTTATTCAACTTTCAGCCAACCACCAAGCATGGACTTGATGCTACTGAATGCCGCCACTCACCACGCAACCTGCATAATTTATAATGAAAAAAAATTACTTCAACACATAACATATATACACATTAACTACCAGTCTTATTTAGAATAAGCTACTGTAAAATATGAATCTAATAACTGGGCGCGTGAGTGTAGTCCCTTCTAGCAAGGTTACCCATGTAAAAAAAATTCTGTTGTTTTCTCTTTTCATTTGTCTCGTTTTCTTTGCCAGATCTGACACGGTGACTCGTATAATAATAATAATAATAATAATAATAATAATTTTTATTTAGGCAAAGGTACATACATAAAGAGATTTTACAGTTTGTTGGCTTTATAGATAGAGCTAGTACATACAATGCCTAAAGCCACTATTACGCAAAGCGTTTCGGGCAGGAAAAAACACTACTGACTAAAGCTTAAAAGGGTAAAAGAAAAAAATGCGTTGAGTACAAATAAAAATAGAGGTAAAAGAGGGGGGGAACATTGTTGAAAAAAAAAAAAAAAAAAAAAAAAAAAAAAAAAATAGTTTTGTGCTTACCGCACCAGACTGTATTTAAAAGACAAAACTGTATTTATAGTAGCAAATATGATGACAGGCTGATCCCTTCAGAAATGACTTACCAGTTTTCAAGCTAGTTTCAGAGAATCCTTAGAGAGAGAATCATTCAACTTCTCAAACTACACAATCTTACAAAATTAGCATAACGTGGTTAAGGAACAAATCAATCCTGTCTAACAAATAATCAGCTACTCAGAAATGAAGCTTCCAGTACCTTTATATAAGGTGTCACGGGGACTGCAAAGGAAGCAGTCCCCGTGACACAGTGGTAAGACACTCGCCCGGCGCTTTGGCTTGGGTTCGTATCCTGGGCGGGCAAGATTAACTGGGCGCCCATTCTTAACTGTAGCCTCTGTTCACCCAGCAGTGAATGGGTGCCTGGTTGTTAAACGATTTGGCGGGTCGTATTGCGGGGAAAATTGGGATTAAAGACCTGCCCGAAACGATATGCGTGCTAGTGGCTGTGCAAGAATGTAAAAACTCTTACATTCTTAAGAGTTCACTCTTAAGAACTCATACAAAAAATATCGAGGCCTTGCAAAGCGATCTAAGTAAATTCCAAAAAAGGGTCTGAATAGCGGAAAAATTCTTTTCAATATTGAAATATTCAAGACCTTGCATGTAGGAGATAACAATACAAATCATAAACATTATAGAAGATATGATCAACCAGTCACTTGAAGATGTTCAACAATAAGTAATAAGGAGCTATACAATAAGTAATAAGGAGCTATACGGTGAAATAAGCCAACCAGACCTTAAGGATAATCAAACGAACCTTTAATTAAGGACAAGAAAGTGATAATTGAATTGTATGAGTTTCTTGTGCAAACCCCCCCCCCCCAGACTACTGTATTAATTGCAATATTAAAATATTGGTTTCCGTGGCACAGTGGTAATACACTCGCCCCACGCTTCGCGAGCGATTTGGCCTGGGTTTGTATCCTGACCAGGGAGGATTGACTAGGTGCCAGTCCTTAACTGTATGCCTCTGTTCACCCAGCAGTAAATGGGTAACTAGTTGTTAAGCGAACAAATCCACAAGAGCCGTGATGAGGATTCAAACCTACGTCCAGGACGATTTAGGTTCGAACCCTCATCACATATCTTATACATACATCTTTTACATCTACATTTTACATATTGAACATATTTACGTATTTTACATATTTACATATTTACATATTTACATTTATATATATATTTACATTTATATTTACATGTTGAATCTACATAAATGTACATTTTGATGTACATTTTACATTTTTTACATCTACATCTTTACATCTTTTACATCTACATACATACATCTTTTGTGGATCTGTTCATTTGATGTATCACGCTATTGTGAGTTCTGTGTGTAGTTGTTAAACGACTTGGCGAGTCGTATTCCAATGAAAATTAAGATGAAGGACCAGACCAAAACTCAATGCGTGCTGGTGGTTTTACAAGAATGCAAGAACTCTTGTATATAAAAATACAATAACAAAATAAAATTGGGAGAGGAGGGAGCATGGGGGAGCAAACACCCGAGTATGGAGACCTCTCCTTCAAAAGGACATATTTGTTTGTTAGGAAGTTTAACACAAATCAACATGACTCATCCCAAAACTAAGTCAACCCTTAAATTAGGGTTTAACAACAGCTTCAAATTCCACAAATTCAACAGCGCCTCAGGACTAACAAGACTGCGAACCAGACTCTACAAGGCTGTTGTCATGGAGACTTTTTAACTATTTATTTATTTATTTATATACAAGAAGGTACATTGGGGATTAACAGAGAACACAGAAACTAAGTTGAATTTACATTCTTGTAAAGCCACTAGCACGCATAGCGTTTCGAGCAAGTCCTTAAACTAACAGATAATTTTTAGATAATTAACAGTAAAATCGACAAAAGATGTTTACAGGTACTTTACAGGTTTACTTTAGAGGTACAGATAATTTTAAGTAGAATAATAGAACTATAGAACTATAGAACAAAATACTATAGAACAAAGGAGGAAGATGTTAATCCTGGCCACATATTTTATAATGTAACACATGCGTAGACCAACAGCTTCAAATTCAACAAGCCACAATGTAGGACAGTATCTTGAGGTTATCTTGAGATGATTTCGGGGCTTTTAGTGTCCCCGCGGCCCGGTCCTCGACCAGGCCTCCACCCCCAGGAAGCAGCCCGTGACAGCTGACTAACACCCAGGTACCTATTTACAGCTAGGTAACAGGGGCATAGGGTGAAAGAAACTCTGCCCATTGTTTCTCGTCGGCGCCTGGGATCGAACCCAGGACCACAGGATCACAGTAAACAAGAGACCGCTACCCCGCCATCCCACATGGCAATAAACCAATGGAACCCCCTACCCGCTGATAGTGTAAATGCCCAAACAATACCTCAGTTAAAAATTCATCTGGAAAATCCCTCACGAAAAGGAAGACCTTTGAAAAGCTGCCGGCTTTCTGTCCCCGTCGAGGCCACTAGAGATGGTATAGCCCCTCCCAGGTAAATTCCGTTAGCATGACTATCTCCTCCTGGATGAGGTCTGGTAATTAAAACAGACCTTGAGCGAGGAGAGGCTGGTCTCTGGAGCCAGATTCACGAAAGCACTTACGCAAATACTTACGAACGTGTACATCTTTCCTCAATATTTGACGGCTTTGGTTACATTTATTAAACAGTTTACAAGCATGAAAACTTCCCATTCAACTGTTGTTATTGTTATAAACAGCCTCCTGGTGCTTCGGAGCTCATTAACTGTTTAATAATTGAAAACAAAGCCGCCAAAGATTGAGAAAAGATGTACACGTCCGTAAGTGCTGGCGTAACTGCTTCGTGAATCTGGCTCCCTGGGGTGCTCCCAATACCCCGTCCTCAACCCCAGGCGGAATGGAATAAACGGAGGGAATCGATAGACAAAATGATTATCGATCATGGATGTATGAGAAGGAGGGGTGGGGGCTGGGGGGCTGGGGGGGGGGACAATCTGGGTACGCTATTGCTCATTCTGTGCGGACGTGCGGACACACACGCACCTCCCCCCCCTCCTCCCACAAATGTACTATCTGGGAGGAGAAATTCTTCAAGAGTCAAATAGAGAGAAAGATCTGGGGGTTGATATCACACCGAACCTGTCCCCAGAGACCCACATCAAAAGGATATCTCCAGCGGCATATGGCCGCTGAAGAACATAAGGCCGCTTATGAAGATCATAAGGCCGCTGAAGAACAAACGACTGGCCAACATAAGAAAACTGCCTTTAGAAACTTGTGTAAGGAATCGTTCATAATCTCGTATACCACTTATGTAAGACCAATCCTAGCGTATGCAGCTCCAGCCTGGAGTCCATACCTAGTTAAACACAAGACAAAGTTAGAGAACATTTCAGAGATATGCCACTAGACTCGTCCCGGAATTGAGAGGTATGAGCTACGAGGAAAGGCTAAAGGAGTTGAACTTCACGTCCCTGGAAAACAGAAGAGTAAGGGGAGACATGATAACCCCCTACAACATTCTCAGGGAAATTGACAGGGTGGACAAAGACAAACTCTTTAGCACGGGTGGAACCCGAACAAGGTGACACAGGTAGAAACTTAGTACCCAAATGAGCCACAGAGACATTACAAAAATTGGTTTTCAGTGTCAAAGTTGTTAACAGATAGTTGTTAACAGCCTCCACCACATCACTAGGAAGTGATGTGGCGGAGGCTGACTGTCTTCACGGTGGCAGACATGATTCCATGAATTCTAAACGGGCAAAATTGGGTCCCCATCCCCCCTAAAGAGGGGAGAGGGGAGTGGGGGGGGGGGGGGAAGAAGGCAGCTGCCTTCAGTAGGTCTAAGTTCCTTCTGTTTTATCTTAATATTGTCTCGGATTATTTACATTTTTTAGCTTATTTCCAAGACTATTTGCTATACTAAAAAAAAAAAAAACCACTTTACACCATATGATTGGCACAAGAGGCACACACCGGCCACATTAACCACTAGAGCACACTAGAGCACACTAGAGCACACTAGGTGAGTTAGAAGCGATCAGTATCACTGTTGTTGGCGTCCTGTGGTGCTGCCAGTCTCCAAGTTTCCTCCGTTGTGGCGCTATGTTGTACTCCTATTTCATTGACTA